CAGAAGAATCAGGTTGTCTCGAAATAGAAGAAATATATTTAAGCCAGTACGTATAAGATCTATCGAGAAACGTTTGCTCGCCCGATTAACAAGGAAAGAGATGTACAGTGGACAATCATATGGAAATTAGGTGAAAAAACGAAAGCTACTTTTTTAATGGTTTAAATAGTGTATCATATACACTAGGTAACGGCCAGTTTAATGATGAAAAATATTTGATCCAAATGCTTTAACTGGTCGAGATAGGTAAGTCCCAATTTTTTGCAATTTTTGCTACAATTCGACGAAAATCGTTTTCTCTTGTCAAATAGGCAGTCACTTAACATATATATTCTGAAAGCTGCGCACTTGGGCTATTGATGCATAAAAAGATTTTTGTCCGAACACGTTTGCGAAAAGGAAAGAACATGATTTTTATCTGTAGGAGATGTCTTTCGGAAACATGCGCCCAGTAAAGTGGGCACGCCATCCACATCCAAGCTCTGTTTTCAATGAAACTTTCAGCAATTGTTCCTCTGTATGTGGCACGTCTAGATGGAATGCTCAAACTTGCCCAAACATATCTGGGCGAAGCTGCAGATTTTACAAAACCCCTGGATTTTTATCGTTTTCCCACGTTTTTCTTAGTAAAAAAGCATCCTAGCTAAAAAGTAAGAACATATACAGCTGAATCCATCCGTATGAATCGTTATGGAGCATCCATTGATCATACACACCCAATATTTTTTTCGGCCTGTTTTCTTATTGCATTGGTAAACATGTTCATCCAATACCAATAATCGTTGACCTTTGTTGGAGGTAATGAAAGAAACATTTTCATCCGCACTGGTTGATGTAGCCATTGATATTTGATTGAAAATGTATTGATCAAAGTCTAAATGTTCGTTATTCTTCTTGACATGTTCTCTTTCTATTCTTCGTTCTCTTTCTCGATTGTTTAGTGATGATTATTTTGACTGTTAAATCTCCTAAACTCTGTCATTCGATATTTTCACATTTCGTTTTCAATTTTCAACATTTTTCCTTTTCGATGTTTTTCCATTCGTCATTTTTTCTGTCGACGTTTCACTTCCGGCTTTTTTCTTTTCGCCCAGATTCAAGAGAGTCCTATATTTCCATCTCTTGAAAGATGGTTACAAGGATACACTGTGTGTTTTAGTGGCATAGACCATCGAAAAACAAATATCATTAGAAAATAATCAAACTATTTTAGATCATTTTTTACCGATTTAGAAAAACTTTTTAAGCGGCCGATCCGATCCGATTGCGTTTTTTTCAAACGATTCCAACTCTGCAGTGTACTTCGATTTTCTCTAGAGTCGGCTGACCAAGTCTCTGAAGTTGCAAACATGCTTCATGAGAAGACAAAGCAAATGGAACGGTGAGTGAGATAGCCCAATCGTCGGCAAAAAAATTATCGAATTGTTGATCAGATGTCTCGAAAAGCAGAAGAAGCGTTGACCATGAACCTTGAAACAAGACTGGAAAATGATCACTCGTACCAAAGTGGATGACTAACACATTCTCAACAGGTGCCGAACAATAGATGAGATCTATGATGTTTGAAGAACGTTTCGATGTTAGTTCTCCCGGTTTCCCTATATTAAGATTTAGTTCGGTACAAAGATCTTCAAATGCGCGACCCCTTCCATCCGTGTATTCACATTCCCGTGTTGCTGAACAAGAGTTAAAGTCACCTATCAATAGAACTGGAGAATCATTTCTGTTATTACTTTGAATTATTTCATTTAATAAGTCAATAGGAAGTGGTGATGAACGGGGAATTCTTTGAATTTTGGTTTAAATTATGATGTACTAAATGAATTTAAAGAATAAACGTGAAAACACACTTTACAAACATACCGATTTAAGTTTAATTTATCTGATTCTAAACTTAAACAATTACTACATACGTACATTGTATTATGTGTGAGAGACGAGCGAGTACACGGCAATTCCAGTACGAGTACCTAGTATTTTAGGTCAAGCACGAGTATGAGTACGAACATAAAAAATTTTACTCCATATTACTCTAGTATAAGAGATATTTCGAAAAAACAAAGTCAGTTTATTGTTCAGCAAAAAGGAGTTTTGTGAGATTTAAACAATTGTTTCTAATTCTTTTTTTTCGTTATAGTATGAAGTTTTAAAAACAATCCTATATTTCTTAGGAAATGTATTAGGAATTTCATCCACATTTGTAAAATCGAGTACCTAGTAACCGAATCAGTTACTGCATAGGGTGATCAAAAAGTTCTCGGAATATCTATATTTTTTATTGAACGAACTGCAATTTAAGAAAGCTTAGTATCTCAAGCAATTCTAGCGACCGCCCTCACCTAGCATGCAAAGTTTAAAGCGCTCTACTCTTTTTTAAAATATTGTTCAACACTCATCATGCTATGAAACAAGTCTCCTTGGTTACAGCTTGTAGTAAGGATTTTGGAACCCGAATAGCCCTTCTTGCCGTTTCAAATAACTGAATCACCAAAAAACAGCTCGTGTCGAATTACAGAAGTAAGGTGGATGATGCATGATCATCGCTCCATGTCCCTAAAGAATGTTTTAGTATCTCTTATTGACGAATTCAATCTGCTCTCGCTTCGGTTTTCGATTAGTTTATGTGGTGTAAATCTTGCACACAACTTTTTTCAATTTTAATCGATCATGAATAATTCAGATAGTGGTGGTACATAACCGACTATCTATAAGCAACATATTTCGAGTGCTGGGATATAGATTTTTCTCAATCAAAGCAGAAACCACTAACTTTTCCCATCAGTAACGTCGGTTATTGGTCTGACAACTCTTGGTTTATCTTCTAAAGAGCATCTACCGTGTGTATAGCTTTATCCCCCCTTGACACCCCTGCTGTACGACACTTAACCTTCGCCCGTATCCGTCACACAACTCCGTATGAATTTTCTCTACTGTGGAGTCGAGTTTGAGCCTTGATAAGATGTAGTATCGAATGGATGTTGCATTCATCTAAAAATACACCATTCGAAAAAAATGAGCGAACAATCCACCAAAAGCTAACAATCAGCTCCAAATTATATAATTTAATTATTAAATGTCCATGCTACTCGAGTATAAAAAAGAAAGTCCTGTATTGCGTCAAACAGCGAGAGTCGAGGACAGTTCCGAGAACTTTTTAATCACCCTATGTAAACCGGTGATAAACCTTCCTTTAACCGCAATAAACTCGCGTGATTCATAGAGAATTGTGACAATATGTTTGTCTTTCTCTAGATACATTAGAATGTTATCACCGTTTTATCTCGGTGATGTTCTACGTATATAATCTCAACATGAGTTAATTGAAAAGTTACAGAAAGGCAGGACTGTGCGCGTAATAAGAACCAGTCCAAGTTTCCAAGGCTTGGGCTTTTCTGTAAAGAATAGACGGTTATAAAACATATCTATTAGTATAGACCATTTAGAATATAAGTGGTCGAGAAAAACTATATCACGGCATATCGTATTACGGGACATATGGAAGTATCGAATACATAGCAGAAATATTAATTAAAATTTAATAACAGTGTCTACTTACGAGGGAACCTCTCGAGGTGATTAAAAGCTTTTCGACTCAGACTATTTTCATCATGTAGGGAATAGTCAGTAGTGAAAAACCCCAAGTTGGTTTGGACCCATGCGCCTTTTTGACGGAGATATGAGTTAATTAATGAAAATGCCATTAATAATAATTAATTAATAGCTCACGACCATGATCAGCTAGGAGTCGGAAATTTACACCACAGTTGAAGATAGATGTTGTCACTGCGACACTTTTAGGCTTATAAATCAAAGCTTTTGCAAGATATGAATTTTTTATGATTTAGACAGTTTTTAGTGAAAATTCACCATTGAAAACCTAAAAACTTGTTATCACTTTTTAGATACCTCTATTGACTCAGGAAAGACTTGTTTCATTTAGATATAGGTCCCTAAGAGCCGTTGAGCTTCTGCAGGGTTAACATAGGTATTTAAAAGGTGATAACAAGTTTTTAGGTTTTCAATGGTGAATTTTCACTAAAAACTGTCTAAATCATAATAAATTCATATCTTGCAAAAGCGCATGGGCCCAAACCACTTTGGGGTTTTTCACTACTGACTATTCCCTACATGATGAAAATAGTCGAAAAGCTTTTAATCACCTCGAGAGGTTCCCTCGTGAGCGAAAATTTGTCCATATAGGTAAAAACTGCTGACAAATCGAATGAACATACTTCTGAGATCTTTAGAGACCCTTCGGAGGGTCTCCGAAAATCGTCTATGGAAAAAAACATGGTTTTCTGATATTAATCGATATTTTGTGATCTTTAATACACAGATTAATCACTGTTCATGTTTCGCTATTTAATATGAACGGGGACATGCAAAATAAACGCATTGAAATAGAAAAATATACTCGTTAAGGTTCGTTTGTGTTTTTATTTGATATTCTACGATGCGATTGAACTGTTGTGTTGCAGAGTTGACTGAAAAACAGTTTTAATACATCAGCATATGTTTGACCTTGGGAATATGCTTCGATTGAACGCCAAAAACGCCGGAATAATTTTAATGCAGTTTTCCGTTCGGCAAAATGTATACGAGAATCCGATATTAATTTTAGCACTTTTTCAAAACTTTGATCTGTACGTGAACGAACAAATGCTTTTTGATTGCATCAAAGACTTTCAATTGCGTTTAGTTCACAGTGATATTTAGGGCAGTATATAATCTTAACATTATAGTTGATCGCTAGCATCTCAAGTTTTGTAACCTAGACAATACAGTAAATTATATAGGATGAAATATCTTTCAAAATATGGAATGATTTTCACTTACATTTTGAAAAGCTCGATGTTTTGAAAGTATTTCACGAATTTCATCTAATGTAACCTTAGCCGGTAATTGTACACCTCTCTTTACATAGTTCAACTAAACCTTTTGATTAATCTTTGTTTGTCCCCTGATCAAAATAACAATCAATAGCTTTTGTTGTACCATTTTCATCGACATATTCGATTTTCTCTACCGGACACCGAGTACCAATATTTTATCATAAATGAATCAGTTTGTTTACCACCACGTAAATCATTTGAAAACTCTTCATAATCTCCTTTGATAAACACTGTTGCGCATTTATGAGAAGTTTTCGTGGTTATAAAACCAATGCTCTTCAAATACTCATCGACATCTTCCCATTTAATGTCGAAGAAACGTAACGACATATAAAGCAAAGTGCTAAGATATTTCGTGTCACACTTTGACTTGCACATTTCAGCAAAATCGCCAATGTCGGTTAGCAAAAGTCTGTCTTTAAAATTCAATTCTTCATCATCAATATCCATTCGATATTCATAATCAGATGAATCGCTTGTATTCGAAATCTTTACATTTGACCAGCGACGAGCTGATGCACCGCGCGATTGACTTTCCTTTTATTTCCTCTAGGCATACCGAACTAACTTAGTGTAGCTGCAAAAGATAGTATCTTAAAGAAAGACGTATGTTATAAGTGCTTCTGCTTATATCATGGTTTTTCGAGGAAAGGTTTTCTGGGGACTTTTGAAGGATCTCTGAAGATGTCAGAAGTATGTTCATTCGATTTGTCAGCAGTTTTTACCTATATGGACAAATCATATCAACTGAGAGAGAAAATTTAGAAACAAGTTCGGTGAAAACGGACTGCATATTTGGATTCTCCGTAGTCGATTACATTGTACGGCACATGTTTTGAGACGAGGTACTCTAGAATTCCACCGAGGTTTTGTATAAAGATATAAGTGGAAAAAAAAATACTCTGAACAGGATTCGAACCTGCGAACATGTGATATATAATATATTCTTCTCATGCTTAGCCTACTAAGCTACAAACAGAGTGCTAATTAGACGGTTGTAGTTCGTTCTTATTTTGTCATGACATAAGAAAAAATAGTTATAAAGAAGTTTACGTCGTTCAAGTCAACATGATGCTAAAAGACACTGCAGAAATATAGAATAAAATCACATTATATTTGCTTGCTTAATTGTTCTTCGCTGAATGATAAAAATAAAGTCAATAACCAGG